AATCAGGTATGTCGCAGAAGTGATCAGTTTCAGTTATTAAAAAAACTTAATCGGACTTCCCTGGTGGTCCAGTGGTTAAGAACCTGAGCTTCCAATGCACATGGTGCAGGTTCGATCCCTGGTCAGGGAACTAAGATCCTACATGCTGTGTGGTGCAGCAAAAAAACCCCAAAAAACAAAAGACAGCTTAATCCACCAAAACAATACTGAAAAGAACAAAGTCAGAGGACTCCCTCTTCTCAATTTCAAAACTCACCATAAAGCTACAGTTATTGAGATAGTGTCATATTGGCATAAGGATAGACATATAGATCAATGGAATAGAATTGAGAGTACAGAAATAAACTCATATATGTATTGTCAACTGATTTTTGAGAAGGGTGCCAATACCATTCAATGAGGAAAGAAAACAAATGGTGCTTGGACAACTGAATAGCCATATGCAAAAGAATGAAGTTGGACCCTTTCTTCACACCATATATAAATATTAACTCAAAATAGATCAAAGACCCAAATGTAAGAACTAAAACTATAAAACTCAGAAGAAAACAAAGGGGTAAATTTTCATAACTTTGGATTTGGCAAAGGATTTTTAGATATGACATCAAAATCACAGGCAACAAAAGAAAAAAATAGATAAATTGGACTTCTTCAAAATTTAAAACTTTTGAGCTTCAAAAGACACTATCAAGAAAGTGAAAAAACCCACACAATGGAAGAAAATGTTAGCAAATCTTATATCTGATAAGGGATTTGTATCTAGAATATCTAAAGTATTCTTACAACTAAATAATAACACAACCCAATTAAAAATTGGGCAAAGGATGTAAATAGATATTTCTCTAAGGAAGATATACAAATGGCCGATAAGTACATGAAAAAATGCTCAACATCATTAGTCATGGGGAATTACGCTAATCAACAGGCATAAAGTTTCAGTGAAGCAAGATGGATAAGCTCTAGAGATCTGCTGTATGACATTGCACGTGTAGTTAATGATAATGTATCATACACTTAAAAATTTGGTAAGAAGGTATATCTCATGTTAAGTGTTCTTACCATAGTAAAACAAAATTTGAAAATAGAAAGAAAGAAAAGAGGTTGGCTGAAGCAGCCTGTGGCAGTAGAGAAGAAGGCAGTGTTGAGATTGAATTGATCAAGGGGGATTTTTTTTTTTTCTTGAGGACCAGATATGGACCACAGATAGGGACCAGCCTGGGGGTCACATAAAAGAGGATCTAGCCCAACAGAGCTTCTTGCTAAGATGACGGTTACTTTAATAGAAAATGGCTGGAGGTGAACTCGGATTCAGCATTGTAACGACCAGTCAGAGGAGAAACATTGACCTGGAGGGATCTGCAGTTAGATAACCCTAGTGAGGGAATTTCTGGGGAGCTCACGAAAAGCACATCATGAGTGAAAGAGTCCTGAACATCATCCAAGCCTAGAGAGAAAAAATGCCAATAGATTTGTTGTGAAAAATGGTTTAATGGGTCTTTTGGTGACACATAGAGAAAACTAAAATATTGTTTTATAAAAGATTAATTGGGATGGTGAGGAGATAAATTGCTCTGTGAAACAATATCAAGAATTGCGTTCATAATGGGCAGAGTTGTACCTTGGCAGAGAATTGTAAGGAAGTGTCCCTAAACTGAAGATGAGAGAAAAACTAGTCTGGTAGCTGGAAAATGGGGCAAGATTGGTAGATATTTGTACCGTCTTTAAGATATGTATCTCATTTATGTATGTATTACATTCTTTATGTGCCTTATCCTTTCTACAGTGCAGAGTCACGTGTATTTTTGCGTTCCACATTTCAGTGGCTTATCACTCTCTACCTCTGTTAATATCCTTTCGGGCCTACTTCCCAAATATGTCTCAGATCAATTCCCTTTTCTTTATCCCTTATGTGCTCTAGGCCATCAAATGCCAGACACCTGCAAATACTCTCTGATCTCCTGAAAACACTCTTATTCTCCTCCAAACCACAAAGCAATCTTTAACAAATGTAAATCAATCAGTCTGCTGATTAAAATCCTTCAGCAGCTTCCCACTGTCTTCAAACTTCTTGATGGGGTTTCAAGGCTGTTCACGATTTGGTCTCATCTTGTTTCCTGCCACTCTCTTCTTTGTACTTTTTTACCCAGCAATGCTGGGCTTCTCACAGTTCCATGAGTTTTGCATGATCCTCCTTTGCCTCCATCCCTTTTCTATTAACATTATCTTTGCATTACTCCCATCCTTCTATATTCAACTTTTAGGCCTTAGCTTAAATGTTAATTTCCTAGGGAGATATTCTAGTAACATTCACTATAGTTTATTATAGTTAGTTTCTGTCTTCTCTGATAAAATAGTAATCCTACATGAGACTAAAGACCCTATATAATTTGTTTTTTTTTTTTTTTTTTTTTTTTTGCGGTACCCGGGCCTCTCACTGTTGTGGCCTCTCCCGTTGCGGAGCACAGGCTCCAGACGCGCAGGCTCAGCGGCCATGGCTCACGGACCCAGACGCTCCGTGGCATGTGGGACCTTCCCGGACCGGGGCACGAACCCGTGTCCCCTGCATCGGCAGGCGGATTCTCAACCACTGCGCCACCAGGGAAGCCCTATAATTTGTTTATTTATCTAAAAGTCTGGCATACATTAGATGTTCAGTAAGTATCTGTTCAATGAATGACAGTAGCACTACACTTTGTAAAGATGCTCATTGAATGAATGAATGACTTTGAGAATGTGGCACTGAAGAAAGGAGAAGACTGTTGCTGATGTAAAAGGATAGTGTTAGCAGAGTGGTAAAGAAGGAATCCAGACTTTAGTGGATTAAGCAGGAAAGGGCAGTGAGGAAATGAAGACACCAAGATTTTAAATCGTTTATGAGGAGTTCATCTAGGAAAGAAAGAATAGCAGCTAAAAGCCTATTGTAGAATCAAACGAGGGATTCCTTTTCAAAGGCAGAATGGAAAGGTATCAGGTAGGATGTTTTTGGTTGCAAGAGACAGAGAAGTCCACTTAAGTGAGATTAAATAATACATGAAATTTATTGACTTATAAGACTGAAGTCCAGAGTAAGGATAACTTTAGGTATGGCTGGATCCAGAGATTCAAGGCATTATCAGGGTTCTGCCTTTATATGTCTACCTTTCTTCTATGTTGATTTTATACCCAGGCTGGCTTCCCTGTTGTAACAAGAATGGCTCCAGAAAATCCAGACCTCACATATTCCCCTTTCATATTATCTCCTCTTCATCAATTCCAGAGGAAGAAAGAACACTTTTATATCTGTCAGGATTCTTGTTTGCAAGCGATAGAAACAGGGTTTCCTTTACTTAAGCAAAAAAGGGTATTTATTATAAAGAGATCAGGTGGCTTCCAGAATCAAGCAGAAGGAGAACTGGTCCTATAAAACAAGCAGAAGCCAAGAGAGGCCAGGCATTGGGAACCACAGCCAAGGTCAGCACAGGAAAAGTCTGGTTAGGGCACTGTCGGCACTGGACACTACCACAATTGGACACTGCTGTTGCTGAGCACTGCTGCTACTGTCATTGGATACTGCTGCCTCTGTCATGCCTGAATTATAAATTGTGTCATCTTTGTGTCATTCAATATTCCAGACCCTGGCTGGAGCATCCGACTGGTCAAGGCTGAGTCATGCCCCAGGACTTAGCCACCACAGGGTAGAAGAGGGAATATTTGGTATCTCTAGGCACTGTAGTGAAAATGATGTTCTGCCTCTCACAGACTCACATAAAGGAAGATTTCCCTCAAGTAAGACGAGGTTTTGGATGTTGAGCAGACAAAAAATGACAAACATCTATTTTTCGGTCTTGGCCCCAATCCAACTATATACTGTTTATAAGAGACTCACTTAAAATTTAAAGGCATAAAAACATTGAAAGTAAAATGTATGCTAAGTAAATACCAAAAGAAAACTGAGGTGCTATATTAATGTCAGACAAAATAGACCTTAAGACCAGAAGCATTATTAGGGATACAGAGGAATAACATTATGATGAAGGGCAAAATTCAGTAGGAAGATGTAACAGTTCTAAATTGTATGCACCTAATAAAATAGTCTCAAGAGAAATAAGAAAACAATAGGACTATAGGGAGAAATTGATAAAAATTGTAGTGCATAATAAACACATTCTTCTCAATCATTGATAGGTCAACTAGACAGAAATCAGTGAAGATACAGAATATTTCATTAATACAATTAACAAGCTTGATTTATAGAACCATGCATTCAACACTGAGCAAACTCATACTTTTCCACATGTTGTTTAATCACATTTGAGTTGGCTTTGGGGGTTTTTTTTGGTAATTTGAAACTAAAAACATCCTAATTCCATGTATTAAATCCCTTTCTGCTTAGAATAGCTAGAATGGTTTCTGTTCTCTGCAAGTAAGCCTTGATGGATATAGATACCAAGCTGAGTTTATCCCAGAAGTAGAAGTGTAGCATATATATATATGTAAACCATGTGAATACCTCAGTTGTTGCAGAAAAAGCATTTGATACATTTCAATACTAATATAAAACACCCATATTAATGTTCTTAGCAAAATAGGGGTAGAAGGGAACACCTTTAACCCAATAAAGGTACCAACAACAAAAAATGTATAGCAAACATCCTACTTAATGGTCAAAAGTTGAAAGATTTTCCTTTTAAAATTGGGAACAAGACAAAGATGTTCACTAGCTTCACTTTATTCAACATCATTCTGGAGGTTCTAGCCAGTGCAGTAAAATAAGATAAAGAAAGAAAAAAAAGAAAAAACAAAGATTTTAAAGGAAAAAACAAAAATGTTCATTATTCACAGATGTCATTTCCTTCAGAATAGTCTATAGAAAATATGAGAAATAGGCAATTTAGCAAGGTGTCTGGATGAGATACATAAGTCAATTGCATTTCTAAATGCCAGTAACAAACAATAAGCAGAAGGAAGAAGAGGGAGGAGGAGGAGGGAGGTGGCGGAGTGTGGTGGAGGAGGGGGAGGGGATGGAGAAGAGAAGGCTCCTGGGTGGCGTGGCGCTCCTGCTCCCCCAGGCGCTGCCCAGCCCCCTGTCAGCCAGGGCTGAACCCCCGCAGATCTTGGCTCTCCTCTCATTTTCTGCCTCACGAATGTTAGTTTGTTCTCACACACGCTCAGCCTGCAGAAACCGTTAGATGTTCTCAGGTCGCCACGAGGGAAGCTGAGGGTTCTGGACTTTACCAGAGCTGTGTCTGGAGGACAGCCCTCTCTTCCAGGTCCAGGATGCCCCTCATCTGTGGGTGCTGGGCACAAGCTGGCTACTCTGTGGGTGCTGTGGTTGCTGGACTGACATTTGAGGTACCATGAGGACCAGGTGGAGCAATGACCAGTTTGCTAGATTCCTAGAAGTGGAACTGGGGATTGTGGGATTACAGGCTCTCCAGGGCCTAGGCTGGGTGTCCCCATCCCGTGTCTGGCTGACCATGCCCACCCTCAAGATTCCTTGATTGCGAAATGAGAAACTTGGGAGCCCTCAACCCTAGTCTCCTTTAGCCTCCACTGGCCAGATGACAAGCACTTTACCAGGATAAGGAAACCTGCGTGGGTCCCAACAATCAAAGCTGCATCTGTGACACAGGACACTGCTGTGGACGGTCTCAGTGCTGCAGCTACTGCTATGAACTCTGGTGGTTCTGGCTCGTGCGGACCATCGTCATCCTGCTGAGCTGCTGCTGCGTGTGCCACCTCCGCCGAGCCAAGCACCGCCGTCAGGCCCAGCAGCGGCAACATCAAATCCACCCGATCGCCTACCGGGAAGCCCACAATTACTCAGCGCTGCCATTTCATTTCAGGTTTTTGCCAAACTCTTTACTACCTCCTTATGAGGAAGTGGTGAACCGACCTCCGACTCCTGCCCCACCATACAGTGCCTTCCAGCTCCAGCAGCAGCTGCCTGCACAGTGTGGCCTTACAGGCGGCAGCCCCCGGGCGCCGACCCCACCAGGGGCTCCCAGGGGGCTCAGAGCAGCCCCTCGTCCGGGCCCAGCAGAAGCAGCACGCGACCCCCGAGCATCGCTGACCCTGAGCCCTCCAACATGCCAGCAGACCCAGCAGCAGCCACCAAAGCCCCCAGGATGGAGCCCAGCGGCTCTGTGGCCGGCCTGGGGGAGGTGGACCCTGGGGCCTTCCTGGACAAGGATTCCGAACGTAAGGAGGAGCTGCTGAAAGAGTACAGCTCCGAGCAGGGCGGCGCCCTCCCTGACAGCAAAGACAAGACGCCCGGCAGACGTCGCCGCTTCACAGGTGACTCGGGCATCGAGGTGTGTGTGTGTAACCGGGGCCACCATGATGACGACCTCAAGGAGTTCAGCGCGCTCAGCGACGATGCTCTGGACGGGCCCCTGGACTTCTGCGACAGCTGCCACGTGCGGCCCCCTGGCGACGAGGAGGAAGGGCTCTGCCAGCCCTCCGAGGAGCAGGCCCGGGAGCCCGGGCACCCTCACCTGCCGCGGCTGCCTGCCTGCCTGCTGCTGAACACCATCAACGAGCAGGACTCCCCAAACTCCCGGAGCAGCAGCTCCCCGAGCTAGAGCAGGCCCTGCCTGCGCCCGAGAACTTGGCGACGCAACCAGGGTAGGGGAGAACCATGAGAAGAAAATTAAGTGACTGTGTTCCTTTTTTTTTTTTTTTCCCCTCTGCTCCTGCGTTTTCCTGCATCTCCAGGTACAGTTTGGGGTGTGGGTGCCTCGCCCCCCATAGATACAGTGTCACGGAGGGCCGAGAAGTTGTCCTGTGACTCATTCCTCATACCCCACCCTGTCCCCCTTTACCTCTTTTCAAGTCACGTGTCACTACTTGCTTGGGTCAGAGAGATGTGCGTTTCAGAAGCCCCCAAGGATGGGATGAGACTGTGCCCTGAGGTGACTCTTGGTGATGGAGTGGATTCATGTTCTGGTGTGAGATTACAAGAACCTCGCCGCGTCTCAGTCTGAGAGAGGTGGCAGGTCTCAGCCCTGGGTGAAGCCCCAGTGGTCCGGGGATTGTCGCTCCTCGCTGCCAGTGTCTCTGGAGCCGGAATTGGGCCCCTCCTGTGGAAGGATGAGAGCTGACCGGCGGTTTCGTGGTGGGTTGGTAAAGGGCTTTTGCTCTCAAATTCCAGGTGACGAGATCGAGGTGGCACGATGCATCCTGGAGGGGCCCCTTCCCAGCAGGTTCTGGCTGGCCGCGGACTGGTTCAAGTGTGGAAGATTACACCTGCCTTCTCTTTGTTTTTTTTTCTTTTTTAAAAAAACAACAACAGAAGTCAGAAGTGAGCTGAAAATAAGAACTTGACCAGTGAGCAGGCAAGAATTCTGTTTTGGAAAAGGAAAATTTGTGGCTTTTTCCCAACTTGGCCTTCAAAGAGTCCTGGCTACAGTCGAGCCAGAAGGAGATGTTTTGTGTGCAGGCTTGGCTGGAGGCTATCTCCGGAACTTCTGCGGGTGAGCAGAAGGCCCTGCACTGTGGCAGTGGATAGAGGTGCAGCTTACCGCATCTCTCCTCTTTTCATCTGTGCCCACAGGTGATCAGTACCCTCCCCCATCCCAAGCACACGTCTGCCGGCCTTCACGTCTCACTGTTCTCTATGAACAAATGAGGAGGCTGTGGGACCTGAGAAAGGGCGGTCCCGCAGCCTGACTCTCACACAGTATTTTCTCTTGATTCTGAGTAAGTTGTTTTGTTTATTTGTTTGTTTTTTCAAACTGACCATTTGGAAAAAATGCCTTGGTTATCTGTGGTTTTCGTGTCCTTTCCCTGCTCCGCCCCGCCTTGAGTGGGGTAACTAATTTTGTAGCCTATGTGAAGTGTCTAAGTGGCCCAGGTAGGAGGGTGAAGGCAGCCATCCTGAAGGACCACAGGATCCTTATTATTGTAGTTTGGCTTCAAAAACCAGTTGAGTTTTGATAGGAGTAATCTGAATGGAGAAAGCAAACTGCTGAAACTAACATTCCCTGTCCAGCCCTGTTCATATGAAGAGTTTGGTTCTTCCCCCACTCTTGAACGATGACATTCAGACTAGGCATTGATGTTATGGTAAGAAAGGAAGGTATATATATGTATATATATGAATACACACGTATATATGTGTATGTGTGTATATATGTGTATACACACACACACACACACACACACACACACACAAAATAGACAAATCCAAGGCTGTGAGGTGAACGAGTGTCTGAGTTTGGAGTCTACAAAACCAAAATCCACGTTGAACGAAGTGCAGTCTGTATACAGTGACTTTTTGGATAACCTGTGTGTGTCTGTCCGCTGTGTGTAAGCCCCCAGCCCTGTTTTCCTGTGACTACACTTGGAGCGGCAGCCTCTCTGCTCACGTTACCCACGCATTTGGAGCAGGCGCAGCCCTCTCAAGGTAATTTCTTTTACGCATTTACTGTTTGCTGAGCAAACGTCTGTGCGCTTGGGCGTACTGAGCAGCGCTGTCGGCGGCCGTCCCCACGTTTGCCAGAGCTCCTGTGCTCCAAGTAGAGGTTTTACTCTACCCGTCACTGCAATTTGCACATTGCTCCGTGGACACTCGGAGGCCTGTGTTCTGCTCTCTGTAAATGGAAACGTGCTCTGAGCCTGTTTGCCTCCCTCAGCTGCTCCTGGCCCTCGGCCTCAGCCCCCGGGGGTGTCCACAACCGCTCGGGACAGAAGGCCAGGGTGGAACCTCAGACAGAAGCTGGACTGGATCTTCAGTGTCCAGCTTGGACTGGCTGTGGCCCAGACGTCAGCCTTGCCCAGAATTGTCAGGAGGGTTTGGCGGCCACCACAGTGCCGTAGGGCTTACCTCCCTCTGCTGAGGTCCAGCGCGTGGCTGATGTGTGGCGAAAGTGGGCAGAAATGTGCCACAGCCCTCAGATGCCTTTCCTGCCACCTTTTGGTTTTTGGTTTTTGTTTTTGTCTCAAACAACTCACTGAAGTGTCTCAAAGGAGATCAAGTTTTACCAAAATGAACCCTGCTTGAGTTAACTGGTCAAAGGGATGGATTCTGGCCCTCTCAGGATTCCTTCTCCAGTCAGAGTGGGGAACTGGTCCACGTGTTTACTGCTGGGTTCACTGCAGCATCCAACCCAAAAGGCACAAGAAGAAGAAAACGCAACGGGTGGAGCTGGGCTCGAGTCCAGTGTCACAGTCTGGCCCCTGCTACATGAGGCTGCCCTGCATGACGAAAGACGGAAGTAGGGAGCTGAAGGACTCGGGAGGGGGCCGGGGAGATGTGAGGGAGTCTTGTGTTCCAGGTGAACGAGAAGAAAGGGGTTGGTCGAGGGTTTGGTGCTACAGTCGGAAGATTTGCAAATGCTAACACATTCCCCTGTGAGGCACATCACCTTTTGTCAGTTACTGTGAATATGTGTATTTTAAGCAATAAGATTCAGTTGGTCAGACTTTTCTGGGCAGTCTCGGTGATGCATTTCCTGTGCTGTGATTGTTCTGAAGACGGAGTGGCTCTAACCACTGTGAGAAGCCCAAATAAAATCGATCCCCGAAAAACAAAACAAAACAAAACAATAAGCAAATGTAATTTAAAAAAGACACCGCTGGGAATTCCCTGGCGGTCCAGTGGTTAGGACTCAGCACTTTCACTGCCGTGGCCCAGGTTCAATCCCTGGTTGGGGAACTAATATCTTGCAAGCCATGTGGCGTGGTCAAAAAAAACAAAAACAACTCATTATTTACAATAGCATAAGAATAAATAAGGTATTTAAAAATAAATCTAAGAAAAGTTGAGCAGGACCTGTTTGGAAGAAATTATCAAACTTTACTGAAAGTCATTGAAAACACCTAAGTAAATAGAGAGATATGCCATATTCATGGATTCAACATGGTAGAGCTTTAATTCCAACTCTCCCCAAACTAACCTTTAGAGGCAGTGTAACTCCACCAAAATCCCATCAGGGTTTTTAGAGAAAACTGACAAACTGATTTTCTTAATTGTATATGGGAGCTCACAGGCCCAAGAATTAAAAAGACATTCTAAAGAAAAAGAATAGGGTGGGGAGATTTCCCATATCAGTTATTAAGGTTTATTACAGAGCTATAGTATTTTTGACATGGGGTATATGTACATGTGTAGATAATAGACTATTTGAGCAGACTAGAAAGCCCAGAAACAAATTGCACATTTAGGGAAACTTGAGTTATAACAGAATGGGCATTTTTTTGACTGCAGAAAAAGAATGGACTATTTAATAAGTGATACTGGAAAATAGGATATCCATTTAAAAAAACACATCTATGGTCAAGAGCAAACTTTAAAACGTTTAGAAGAAAATACAGAATGTTTTTATGACCTCAGAATAGGAAAAGATCTCTTAAACCAGACACAAATGGTACAACGTATATTTTAAAAGATAGATAAGTTTAACTTCAGAGTTAAGAACTCCTGATCACCACAGACATGATAAAGTAAGTAAAAATACAAGTCACAAACTCGGAGAAACATGTTTCTAAAAAAGGATTAGTATCCAAAGTTAGAAAAATAACTCCTCCAGCTGAATAAGTAAAGGACAAATAATAGGAAAATTAGCAAAAGACATGAACTGGCATTAAAAAAAAAAGAAACATGAAAGGTACAAAAATATATGAAAAGGTGCTCAAGTTCACTAGTAATCATTGAAATACAGATGTTAATTTTTTATCAACTAGATTGGTAGACATTAAGAAGTCTGATAATACAAAGTATTGGCAAGGATGCAACTCATCCAAAGTTCTTATACACTGCCGATCAGTGGTATCGAAGTACAAATTGATAAAAATCCCCTGTAGAAAACCATCTAGCATTACCTCTTAAAGTTGAATATACATATTCTCCACAAACCAACAATTCCACTCCCGTATATATACCAGGAGAAATATAAAAGAATGCTATTGTGGCATTGTACATACAAGCAAAAACCAAACAACTCAAATGACCACAGCCTGGAGAATTATCACAAAAATTATGGCATAGTCACAATCGAATATTATAAAGCAGTGAAAAGAATGAGTGAACGAACTAGAGTTGCACCCAATAATATGGGTGACTCTTAGAAACATATTAGTGAGTGAAAGAAGCAAATTACAGAAGATTGCATACATTATTATATTATTTTTATAAATCTCAAAATAAAACACTATTTACAATAACAATACACTATTTAGGGATGCATACCTATGTGATAAATCTATTTTTGAAAAAGCAAAGGAGGGAATTCCCTGGCAGTCCAGTGGTTGAGACTTGGCACTTTCACTGCTGTGGCCCGGGTGCGCAGCCAAAAAAAAAACAAAAAGCAAAGGAGTGATATAGAAAATTCAGGATAATGATCACTTCTGGGAAGGAGGCAGGAAGATGATTTAAAGGAAAGAACACACAGGTAGATGCACTGAAATGGTAATGCTATATGTTTTAAACTGGGAAATGGATTCATAATAGCTCATTTATTACTATGTTTCATAACTAATATGTTACATATTTCTTTTGAATGTATCAAGGGACTTCCCTGGTGGCCCAGTGGGTAAAAACTCCCCACTCCCAACGGAAGGGTCATGGGTTTGATTCCTGGTCGGGGAACTAGATCCGGCATGCTGCAACTAAGAAGCCC